CGAGTGACACTCGGGGGCACCACTGACATGAGTCACGGCTGTGCTCGTCCTGCCTGGACCCGACTGGCTGAAGGGCACAATTCAACATCTCCCCAGGCGTAAAATTCTTGCCTCACGAGCAGGGGTACCCAGGGCCGTCCCTTCCTATCAGGTTGTGCTTTTATTCGGTTCCACGCACCTACACCACTTCTCCATCTTTTCCTATTGCTCACTTGGGTTTTTCTCTGAACGCCTATGTTGGTAGGAAGTTGCAATTTGGGGTTGTGTTTTCTATTCTTTTTTTGTTCTCATTAATTCATAAATAATGACAAGGGAAGTTTCGAAAACCCCCCAGCTCCTGTTTTGCAAGGAGCTTGAAGAACAGCAAGAAGATGGTTGTGTGCAAAGGAAGTAAGAGAGGTATGTAGATGTGTTCTGTATTTTGTTTTACTTGCTGCCAACGTCTCAGGAGGAATGGGCTTATGGGAAAGCCTGGAGAGCTGAGCCTTTGTGAATTGACCATGGGGGGTCATGTCATGATGAATGGGAGAGGCTGGTGAAACATACAATGGAAAGGTACATGGTTAGGGATGCTGATGGAGTGTACAAGTGGTAGGGACAACACCATGCTCAACAGAAGAGGGAAGACCAGAGGAATGCAGTTAGGTTGAACTTGCAAGTATGAGAAATTCAGATGTGTGGGAACAGCAGGTGAAGAGCAAGTGGAAGGCTGTCAAGGAGCAGTCAGTGTGCTCAGGTTTGTGAGATGAGGTGTTTGGTCACCTGCAGCTTCCTTGCAAAGTGCATTGCATGGTTGGGATGCAGAGAAGAAAACTGCAGTAGCTGTGGTGAGACATTCCAAAGAGGTCTAACCAGCAGATTTGTCTGTGAAAATGGTAACATGGTAACACTGCTCTTTAAGCTTGTGGGGTAAAAGGAAGGCCTGGGACCTGGTGCTATTTGTGTGCGACTCTGGGGAAAAGGGAGGGAATACAGCAAAAATGGCAGTATGTTACTCGTATCAGCTATGAATGAGAAATGGGAAAATGAGGCTAAATCAAGGCAACTCTGCACTTCAGCTAGCATAAACTGATGAAAAAATCTCCAGGAAGAGATGCCAGACAGCAGCTTCAGCACTGGGACTGAACAGAGGCAGAAAGGTTGATGACAGAGGGAGAATCTGAGAATCACAAGTACAGAAATACTATCTAAAATCCTTGAGAATTGCCAGCCAGAGGATGCAGAGGGAAAAGAGGGCTGCGAACCCAAGCCTGGCATTAAGAAAGGAAAAGAGGATGTTGACTTTGACATAAAATAATACGTGCAAAAATTCTTTTAAATCATAGTAAATGCCTGGTTTTGATAATAATAGGTCTGGGGACCAATGGGAAAGAGCTGTAGGGTAGGTTCTGAGAGTTAATGAAGGCTGCGGAGGGCAGGTGACCCAGGAAAGATGTTCAGGGCCTGTGAATCCTAGACTTGTGGGTCCTTCTGGTCACATCCATAACTTTAAAGATTCTTTCCCAGCTCATTAACTCCTGCCTTCCATGTTACCTTGCCTGCAGTGAGTGATTCCTCTTTAGGAATTTCAGTGTTGGGATCTAAGGCAACTGTGGGAATGAAAGAGATATGGTGCAGCTTCCCTTGCTTGGGTTTCCCTTCTTGTCTGGGGAGCTGAAGGAGGATGGTGCAGGACCTTAGAAGTCATCTGGAAGTACACATGAAAAGCTAGAAACCTTGTTTAAGAACAGTTTTCATGGACTTAGGTGGGAAGGCCATGCTCAAGTGACCTGCAAGGTTTCTTTGAAGTTACTAAAGCTGTAATTGATAAAGCAGCATTGGTAGAATCAGAAGAGTTGGATGTTTCAAAAGACATGAAAGAGGGCCCCAAATCAGAGGCTGATGGGCAAGCAGGAGCTTGTGAGATCTGGAGCAAGATAGCTGCTGAAATACAAGATCTTTTAGAAATATAAATTGGAATGTAAGTTTAGACAAAATTTCAGCGTGGAAAATGAAAGATAACATCATGTTTGAAGTTGATATTGAAGCTTGAAAGGGAAAGTGTTCAAAAATAATATCTTTATTTAACAAGGATCCTTATTTAACAAGGATCATGGCACAAAATAACTGCATATTAAGACACAAAGAGTTTGCTTTGCATGGTAGATTGCAACATGATTTGCTTTTGTTTAACTAGACACAGTTGATAACACTGCATGGATGGCTGTTGGTTTGCATGGAATGGAGGGTTTAAGACAATCTAGTGTCTGAGCAAAGTTTTGCTTAAAGCTTGCCATATAGCAATATAAAATTCTAGTTTAATTTAAAAAAAAATTCATAATTAGAAATGTTTGGATTATGATAGACAAACGAAATCATCTAATTTTTCCAGTTCCAATTTGCAGACAAAACTTCCTTTGGAATTATGATTAATCCCAAACTTGATAGTAGCACTTCTGTCCTCCTAGTCCCATAAAAAATAATAACTGGATTTTATTATAGTTTATGTTTGACATCTTTTAAATCCTTAAGCATCTGGTTTATATTTGATATCTTTAAGGAGGACTTAATATGAAGGTGGATGTGAGAGTCCCCAAGTCATCTAGCTTTTCTGTGATACAACTTGTCATTTTAAGTTAACTTATTAATTAATTTTACTAAGTTTTACATGTTAAAAAGAACTAAACCAGCTTTAATAATGCTGGGAGACCTCTGTAGGAAGCACAGAGTTGGTAGTTATCAAAAGAGTTCACAATCTGTTTGGATAAGGGTTATGGTATAGCAACAGCATCTGCGGAGATGGTGTTACCAGAAAATTTTTAAATGCATTAAAATCCATTCATCTTGAAAATACATTTTTTCCCTGAACTGATTCTAATAACTGGTGAGAGATTTTGATGATCATCTGTGCTGAGTTGGGGCTGACCAAAATCTGGCATAAGTGAGGAAAATGAGCTGTAGAGTTTCGAAAGGTCACTCTGAAGGTCTCCCTTGTGGCACACCTACTGTCAGGAGACTATATGTGCACTTTGAGCACTCCTGTTGGTCTATCTATAATTCTAGCTGTTCTTCTAACCCTCTAAAAGTTTCAGTGGTGGTAGTGGAAGAATATCTTTTAGCCATAGATATATTTTAGTTTTTAAACTACTGTGCAGCTGAGTTAGAGTGTGAGTCCATTTGCCAATTCTGTCACTGGTGTTAGGTCACCTCACTGTTCTGATGACATGGGAAGAATTAGTCCTTCTTTTCCCTCTGTGTCTGGTGTACTGGGATCACCTTTGTTGCCCTATACTTCAGCATCCTCAGGGCAGTCATATGCACGAAAAGGTAGATTGTCTTTCAGAGAGAAGTTGAAATTTTGTCTACAAACTGAAAAAAAAAAGCTAGTAGGTTCACATGCTATTCTTTTGTTAATCCCCCCGCTCTCTACTTTAGCTGAGAACTGCAGTGATTTCTAACTCCAAAGTAGCTTTCTTCTCAATGTGGGAGATGACTGAGCATATATTCCCTAACACTCCTAAACTTAGTAACTCATTAATTTGAAGTGAAATTTCCACCTTTTTCTAAAATTTTATTTAACTGTATTCATTATTGCATGAAGGTATTTTGCCTCTTACCGAAGACGTTGGATTGACAGATCTGAATCCCAGGGCTGTATAGGCACAGAAATGCACATCAGGAGCTTTGCTGTATGCTTTGGTGCTTTACTAGTGTGTCAAGAGTACTTGATTCTGCACTCCTCTGTAGCCTCTTCCTTCACTGGGGTTTCTAGAGAGGGCACTAACAATGGTGACTGCTGAAGAAGCTCCCACTCCTGAAATGTAAGCCTAGCTCTGACTTCATCACTCAGTTTCTTTTCAAAGAAAAAGAATGACCCATTGTAACAATATGAAAAGATGTTGAGAGAACCTGTGACTTTGTGCACAACTATGAATATAACTGGAGTGTACTTTCAAAATGTTTTAAAGCTGGAGGAGGCCGAGAGCATTATTTGTAAGAGTTATAACCTCAAAAGAAAAGGCAGCTAGGGTTGGAAGACCAGTTTTGCAATGCTTGAATGCTATAATTCAGCCTGTGCTCTCTTGTATTAAATTCATGACAACTCAACAGTATTTCAGTACAGTTTTTTATCAGTTTTAGATTACATCATGCTGTGAATTGTTGTATCTGTTAGCACTGACCCTTGTAAATCATTTGGTTTGAGGTCTTCAAATGGAAAGCTGTGATGGACTTCAGCATGCAATGTCCTCATTTTGTCCTTGAAAATCATTTAAAAATAAAGCAGCTGCAATTGCATAGATGTTATTACTTTTCTGAAAGGCTAGATTTACCCCTCTGAATTGTCATTAATTGGATGAAAGCCTTTCATAGAAAGAATGAGAATGGAGAAAAAAATTGTGGATTCGTGCTTGGTGTTGACAGAGGGAGTCATAGAGAGGTTGCATATCTGAAGAGATGTGTAGCCCAAAGCCTGATACAAGGTCATGATACTTTTAATGAGAGTAACCAGAGTAGCATAAGTTATGGCTAAATGCTTGTTCCTGCACTTCCATAGCTGGATATTTTTTTCTCTTAATTACTTCAGTTTTGCTTGAATATGTACTTCATTCTCATCCATGTTTTCCAAGTGTTGCATGGCTTTGCTTTGAGCTGAGAAGCATTTGCTGTGCTCTGCCTGATGAGTTGGACTTGTTCATCCATTTCTACTGGGCTGATATTTCTGAGTGAAGGTTCTTTTTGATTTGCAAATTCCTTTGGGACCCTTCAGAAAGTATGCCTCAAACTGTGACATGAATGGAAGCTGCTCTGGAAAAAAATGGAAGTAATATTGTGACATGTTAGAGATCATCTTTGGTCTTTACCCACCCTGTTAGCTAAGAGAAACTCCCACCTGAATCCATTTGGTTTTGCTGAAGATTGATGGGAGATGGAACCGAGCAGATGCAATTATGGAGATGGTGCCTACAAGTAAGGCAAGGTGGTGGAAATGGTGTTCTGCTGCTTGCTGAAGGACTAGGGAGATTTCTGAACTGTTTTACCTGTAGGGAAAGAGCACCTTCCTTGCAAAAAGGGCAGTAAGCACTGCAAAAAATTGCTGAGTTGTCTGTCTCACCCCCAGCTCCTTAAATCGGGCCTGGGTGAGGCTCTGTGCTTCTTTTGGAGCATGTCCTCAAGTCAAGGCTGTAGTAAAAGTGTCAGAATTTTTCTTTGATGAGATCTTCCCCAAAACAGAAATAAGTGTTCCTCAAGAAATCATGGACCTAAATCACATCAAAATCTACTTTAAGCGTCCAAAATTAGGCATACAGCTAATGTGCTACTTTGTCACAATGCTGCGTTATGGAAGGATATGGATTTGTCCCTCTCCTTCATGCTGATCTAGGTGTGATCCAGCAAAAATACAGCTGGTGATGGGGAAA